TTATTTCCAGCATTGTTGTAACAGTGACCAGACAGAGCAGCAAAATGAAATTAAGCTGTTTGAACAATTTCAGTGGATGCCTCATGGGCTGTTTTGTTGGAAAAAAACTACTTTAAAAAAAAATACTGGTGTAAGAGTCTAATATGAAAACTGTCTTTCAGGGTCAGAATCCTAATTCTACAGAGGCACTGCAGTCCTGAAACGAAACTGTAAACTCATTCAGGCAACAGAGTTTCAAGCAGCTCTCTGCATGATATTTCATTTTCCTTGTCTTAGTCTTAGAACCTTAATGAAGTTAGCATTTAGTGTACTGTTTCTTATGAATCACCACTTAACACACATAACTTCTATTGTGAAGGCATTTACATATTGCTATTGTGAACTCCTCTCCTACTTCTTCATAATTGCAGAAACCATGACTTCATAAAAGCTTTTGAAGTATATGTTAAGCTTTCCAAACATATTTTTGCAAAATTTTCCATTTTAAGGTAGCTCCACTGCCTTGTTAACACAGTTGTACCATTCATTCTAATTTTAATTCAAAGACATCTTTATTGTTTGCAGTTCTGCTACACATATATCTAAATATTAAACGAGATGTCCTATGAGATCTTCTGTTGATTCTTTAATGCATGTCTTTGAGAAAAGGAAAACTGGAAAATTAATTTATCAGAATTTAAATGATGATTATAATATAATGCCAAATAAAAAGTGTTCCTTTAAACTGGAGAAGGCTCTAATAATGTATGAAATATATAGACAGCACTAAATAAGGAGGAAATAAATCTTTGATTAGAGAGGAGGCAGCCAACCGGAGGTTTTCAGGGTGGTATGTTGGGACTGACTTCATGTATATTCTAGTTTGTTACCCTAGTATAAGAAGTAGGAATATATGAGGGCAGTTTTCTAAGTTACACATTAAACCACAATCTTGACATGAAGAAATAATCAAATCCACAAAGAACTACATGACCTAAAGTAACAAGAAAAAGCTGTTTGAAGCCTAAGGGACCTATGACAATCATTTATATTACTAGAGATAAGGAAAAAGAATCCAAATCAAGGATTCTTGAACTATGAATAATTGAAAAGAAAAATATAATGTGAAATTATCACTATATGAACATAAACCATCAAAACACAATGCTGAAAATGATAAATGACATTTTAGAAAATATTTTCTATTTCTAGTTGAACTCGAGGCATACTCCTCTCACTCTACAAAATACTGTAGAGGCTTCATCTGGAATATTTTATCCCAGGGCTAAAAGATTTAACTTCAAACCAAAGAAAGAACAAAAGACTCCTCTGGCCAATCAAGGAAATATAAAACCTGTCACATAATAGAAAATTAAGCATGCATTTTTTTAACTTAGCATAATAAAGAAGGACTGAACTGGTTTTTGTAGTTTGTTTGGATTTGTGTGTGTGTGTTGCACTTTTGTTGTTATTGGCTTTGTTTGTTTTGTTAGCGGTTTTGGTTTTGTTTCTGTAAAAAAATGAAAAAGTGAATATTAAGAGACATTCCATAAGACTATTTTTAATGAAAAACTGTGACCTTAATACAAACTTGATTTGATTATGAAAGGCTGGTGCAGTTCTGACATAATTTCTTGTAAATGCAGTTTATGGATATAACAGGTTAGATAGCTCTTTCAATATGTTTTTTGCTCATTAACACAACAAACCTCTAGATGACCCATTTCCCCACCCCCCTTCTTTTTACATGCAGTTTATATGCAAGCATCTAATTAAGGCTTCTCTAGTGTTTATAGTCTAGTAATAGTCAAGGTTCTCAAATATGTCATTCTGCCTACTTAATTGTTTGAGACAGTCTTTCCTCATTATCTTCTTGGCCTTAAAATACAAATGCAGTGACTGGAAAGTGTTCAAAAAACTGTTCTTTCCATTTATCCTGCAAAGACAGTGCAACTGTAAGTTATAGCTGAAAGGCAAAGTCTTGTTCAGCAAAAAGACAAATTAGGATGAAAACAAGTATCAGCAGTGAAGCAAACTCCAGTTAAACTTATAAAAGTTCATATATATCCCAGAGGGTGTTTTAGTTCCCAATGGAATGTAGAAATCTTTTGTTCATTTATTTGTTTTTTTTTTTTTTAATTATTTTTGTATCTCTCCAGCTTACTGGTTATTTGGTAACAGCTCCTGAAAGCAGCTACAGTGCTCTTGTTATTTTAGTTACAGTTCATGTTGTTTAACAAGTTAACATGTCTCACATTTTTTTTCATTTACATAAAAAAGTACTTTCTGTTTGGGCTCAGGTCTCAATTAGATGAAGATGATAAATGCAGGTAAAAAAAAAAAGCATTTGTTTTTTAAGTCTGTTTGGTTTTCTTTTTTCTTTTTTTTTTTTTTAAATATTTTTTGTGGTTACTTGGGAGTTGCATAGATTAAAATACCAGGATTTAGAAACAAACATTTGTTTTTGATTTTTTTTAACATTCTTAGTTATTCTTGTTAATATCAATCTACTCAATGAATGACTATTTTGTTTTAACAGGTCACTTGTGAACACTTGAGAAATTACAATGGCTCTTTCCTAAAATTTGTTGAGACCCCTAAGCAAAATGTTTTCTGTCCACAGTACTGTATAAGCTAACTAAAGAAAAAAAAAAAGAAAAAAAAAAGAAAGAAATTAAATGATGCACTTTTTTATAAAAGCTACTATTTTATAGGGGGAATCTCTCACAAAAAGCATTGACTTTTGTTGACTACATGGTGTCCCAGCTTCAATAGAATGGATGGGGATCATCTAGGCATTCAAGTACTCCCTCAAGCAGTGCAATTTGTTCTTCAGGCCCTCTTTTCTCCACTGACTCCTGCCCCTCTGTGGATGCACTAGAGTACTATGAGAAATGAGATCTCCTTTAGGTTTTTAAATGGAAATATCTATTGACATCTATTCTGAATCCAATTCCACTTGACTGTGATATCAGCCTTATATCCATTAGACTGTATCCCTTAAAGCAATTAAGCCTAGGTGTTCCTTCACCAAAAATCCTACAACATCAAATCACTTCTATCATATTCAATTCAAAATGCTGATGAATAACTAGTTCTCTCCAGAACAAAACTGGACCACTTGAAATAACATTTCTTTGTGCTAAAATAATCTAAACTTGGCCATACTTGATCACAGCACCAAGCCTACCAGAGATCAAGAAATGTTTGGACAATGATCTCAGGTACATGATTGAGGTTGTTCTGTGCAGGGACAGGAGTTGGATTTTGATGATTGCGGGAAGATGGTTGGGTGTAAAAGTTAGAGGAAACTAAGAAGTTAGATCACAATGGTACAGAAATTATGAGGTAAAATGCAGCTGCTACTCCTCGGATAGAATGAGGTCAACATGTTCCATGATAATTCCCTGTACAACAATAAGCACCTTCCAAGGGAGATGGAACAGAAGGTAGAGCAGGGCAGAGACACAACGGCCTCCCTCCATAGAAATCCTTGTTGGGAGGGGAATTTAGTGGTACTCTGTAGTTGATAAGACTGCATAGCACCTGTCAACCAAGGGAGATAAAAGATGCCCTGCTGCTGAACCAAGAACAGTGGCCAAATTGCTATCCTCAGATGAGCTTGCTTCATTAAAGCCTCATTATAACATTAATGCACGCCTCCATCCCAAAGTTACCCTCCTCCAAGGTACGATCAACCCTCCCCGGGCATGTGCCCTGTACTCTTTCAATAGTATCTTTAAAAGTGAAGTGAGATAATTTTACACCAATCAGATACAAAAGTATTTATTACTAAAGTCACTCAAACTCCACCTAAACATAAAGAAATAGTGTAAAAGTAAGTTGAGAACGGGGGGGAAATTAGGGAAGATTCCACTTTAACTACTGGGATCAGTCGATGGGATGAACCTACCTTCTCCCCCATAGGGATGCCTGTTGGGTAAGAACTATGTGTGTGCTGAATAATCTTAATGGGATTAAAGCTTGTCTGTATACTGCTTTAAATACGTTTGTACAGTCAAATACTCTCACTGGCAATCTTCGAACCCTAACCTGCCATGATTTTCTATGAATAAGAGTATTATTCTGTAAACTGTTAGTGTGAGTACTTCACAGGTGCTAGGGGTTGCCGGCAGAGGATAACACACTCAAATAAAGTGGGAAGGTCCACTGAGGTGTCTCCCTTATGCTGTTGGCTTAGCCCCCTGTAAAGGGCAGTTGAATCTCCCTCTTATGCAGTGGGACTGTTTGGTGAAGGGTCCCCATAACAGGATGCTGACAGACTGGTTGTGCACAAAGGTGTCAGCTTTCCTGAGGCACCAAGAGAAAAAAACCACTACGGGTCAAGGAAATCTCTCCATATTAAGGGTCGAAGAAATCTCCTCTTTTCTCATGACAATGATCCTAGTGGGTCTCTTCCAACTCAGTATATTCTATGATTTTATGATTCCATGAAACTTGATTTTGTTCCTCTAGAATCATTTCAGGATACTTTACACTTCTGGCCAACATTAGATACCCTCATGTCATACCCATGTCACGTAACACATTCATGTCTTGACTTCATCCTATGAAATTCTGGTGCACTGCAAAACACCTGTAGCTCTGTTTCAGAGAGGCACCCATCAGCTTTTGAACAGTTTAGCCCTGAGCATACATGCATCTTTGTCTGTGAACAAGCAAGTGGCATTGGAGACCAAGATTGGATGACCAAGTGTTCACTGGTTTGAACTTCCTTTTCTTGTATATAGTTCTATTTCTATATCAAACGACCTCACAGAGCAATTCACATCATCTCCAAGTCTTTGCAAAAGCCAGGTATCTTCTGATTCTAAGTATCTCCCAAGGCTGCTGGACTGATATCACTGATTCTGCAAAACTGTCCAGAGGAGACACTAATATGGTAGCTTCACCACCACAAAATAGGTTACATCTCATTTTTCATTGAAAAAAAAAAAAAAGGAAGAAGTAGACGGGAATGTAAGAAAATGCTGTAATACAGAATAAATCTTATGGATGTCTTTTTTCTTCCACAGAGTTCCAAAGAAACATCTAGATTTTTATTGATACTTCAGATTTGTGGTGGAGCTTTGTAACATTTCTGTGGATGATGGAGGAAAATGGAAATTTCCAGAAAAAAAAAATGACTATGGGACTAAACAATCTTGTATAATTTTTGGGGTTTTTTTTCTATTCTAATTCTTCTACATTCCATCTGTAATGAAAAGAAAGAAACATTTAGTTGCAGGGAATACTCAGTAAGTCTAAAAAAGTGTTTAAGACAGAAAGGATGAATTAACTGGGAGAGGTAGTACATTTTCATTAACTATAGAAAAAATTTTGAAGACTATCTTAGACTACTTTAAAGGATAGTTCTTTAAGGGATAGTTCTCATCTAGATCCATCAGTAATTAAAGGAGAAAGATTTACATTCAAGTGTTGATTGATTCTATACAAGAAAGCTGAAGATTTATGTCTTGTGAATATATACAACTTGTTTACATTAGGAACGTAACTTTTTTGCATGTTTAAGCACAAGAGGTTCACTTGTGCCTAATCTGTCTTCCTTTGGTAGACAAAGGTCGAGGAGGAGAATCATCCCACAGTTTCCAACAAAAGAAAAACCTAAAACTGTTTACAGTACAAACTATACACAGACTGAGAAAGTGACTTTCTATTTTATCATTTTTTCACATTTTATTGTTCAGAAATTTTTCTATCATAGACAATTTATTTATTTAATCATTGCCCTTAATTCAGGCATTTTGTTTCTTTTTACCTGGGGAAAAATGTGTGGATAAGGATTGCAAGGAAATATTGCCTAAGTAAACACAACAGTATTTTTGCATTTTTGTAGAAATGTGCAGCAACAATATCCCTTTTGAAAACAAAAAATAGACTGACCGAAGAAATCAGAATGAATAACAGTGAAAATCATACATACATATAAGATTCCATATGTATATTTTTTTCAAATAGTCAAAAGGAAAGGCAAATATTTTTAAAACTTCTTGCAAAGAAGACTAATGTAACATATTAAAAAGTTCCTTATATCCTAGAAATAGTTATTGTTCATAGTTTATATTCAACTTACAAATGTAGTACATTTGTTAAATATTCATTGGTTACATATAAAGGCAAATATAGACTCTCATTATATTTCTAATGGGTTGTATTTTCACACAGGCATGAGTTCTCTACAGATCTGTATCTTCTTTGGTGATTTAGTGCTATGCAGTTAAAACAAAAATGTTTCCAAAGGAACTTTCCACTTTCCCAAACATCCATGACAGTATATTACACTTGCACTTCTTTCTATAATTTGTTGCATAACTATTGATCTCAGTAGAACTGAAAAGAACTACATATTAGCATATCATATTAATTTGTTCTTCTTGGAGAAGTATATTTCTGTAATGTCTAATTATAATTAGATCTACCAATTACCACAATTTTGCAGTCTTTACCTTGATAACATTTGTGTAGTAGTATTAACACTGGTGTTGATGCTTAATAATCATGTTTCAGAGTGAAACACTATGTTTAGAAGCAGCCCCACCTCTTCATGGTAGGATTTACTGATTCATTATCTTTGATGATCTCAATTATAGCAATAGCACGAACAAAGAATGATAAAAAGAGGAATCAGGAATCTGTAAACTAAAACAAATCACAGAGCATTTTCTATAAATCAATATCCATTTAAGCTCCATATGACAAATGAATAATGGTATGGATTACATAGTGAAAAGGAATGTATTTAAAGCATCTTTTTATTACAAAGACAAATATTTTTTTGAATTAACACTATCTTCCTAATTATCTCATGTCTCTCAAAAAAGTAGGTGTAAGAAAAACATGATGCTAAACTCAAAAGCAATGTGTCATGTCAACTTCAGTACTTCAATACTCAAAGAAATGTTATAAGATATCAGTTTTAGTAATCAGTTTATTATCATAAGCAGGAAGTTTCTAATAAATGAGATTAGAGATTTGCCATTCATTATACTGTATGCCCATTTTCTGTTTATAGTCAAATGAGTATGATGCAGAACAACAAAGGGATGAATATTTGCAAACTGCAAACTGCACCAAACTTATGATTACTTATAGAGGAGTGAGGTTTTTGCATTTGACAAACACCAATGGGAACCATATTGATGCACATGTACAATGTAAAAAAGGGACTAAAAGAATTTATAAATTAAATTAGCATTTTCAGGCATAAGACATTTATAAAATTGTAGTTTAAGTAAAATAAATGTGAAAAGAAGGAAAAATGTTTCTTTTTAAATTCTGCTACTTAAAATTAAGAAACCATAATCTTGGGCTTTAAGCCCATCCTTTTACTATAAGTGAAAAATAGAGCAGTTCCACATTACCTCTACCAAACAATTTCTCAAATAGTAAGAAGGAGTTGCTGTTCTGGTCTAGTTGCCAGCAATAGTTGTGGATCATAAGCTGAGAAAATACAGCAAGGAGCTTTGCTGAAGATCACTTCTATTGTCCTCTATCCTCCTTGTGTGACTAACAACAGCCCGTTGTCATAGAATCATAGAATCATCAAGGTTGGAAGGAACCTTTGAGATCAGTCCATCTGTCAATCCTCTGTCTACCTCTGTAACTACTATACCACATCACTCAGCACCAGATCCAGACACTTCTTAAACACTTCCAGGGTTAGTGACTCCATTACCTCCCTGGGCAACCTATTCCAATGCCTGACAACCCTAACAGTGAAAATTTTTTTATAATATCTAATCTGAATCTCCCCTAACTCAGCTTAAGGCCATTTCCTCTGGTTCTCTCACTGCAGGCACAGTAGAAGAGATCGACCCCCATCTCCCTATAATCTCCTTTCAGGTAGTTCTAGAGAGTGATGAGGTCCCCGTTGAGCCTTCTCAAGACTAAACAATCTCAGCTCCCTCATGTTTTCTAGACCTTTCATAAGCCTTGTTGTCCTTCGCTGGATACTCTACTCAAGGTATGGTCTTACCAGTGCTGAGTACAGGGGGATGATCACTTCTCTAGTCCTGTTGGCTACACTATTCTTGATATAGGCCAGGATGCCACTGACCTTCTTGGCCACCTGGGCTCACTTCTGACTCATGTTGATCGACTGTGAACCAGAACTCCCACGTTTCTGCTGAACAGCTCTCAAGCCACCCCTCCCTCAGCCTGTAGTGATGCATGGGTTTGCTGCAACCCAAGTGCAGGATCTGGGGAATATGGCTAGTGACCAGAGGCCAACTGGATTTAGCTCCATTCAACACAACTCTCTGAGCCCAGGCATCCAGTCAGTTTTTTGATATCCATTGAAAAGTGCACCCATCTAAGCAGTGAGTAGCCAGTTTTTCTAGGGGGATGCTGTGAGGAACAGTGTGAAACGCTTTACTGATTTCTATGTAGATAACATCCACAGACTTTCCCTCATCTATTAAGCAGGTCAATCTGTCACAGAGGGAGATGACCCTGAGATTATCTCAGTTGGTTAGAACCTGGTGCTGATAATGCCAAGGTAGTGGGTTTAATCCCTATATAGACCCTTCATGTAAGAGACGGACTTGATGATCTTCGTGGGTCCCTTCCAAGTCAAAATATTCTGTGAATCTGATGAGGTTGGTGTCAAGCAGGACCTGCATTTCATAATTACCTGTTTACTGGGCTTGATCCACTGGTCGTTCTGCATATGCTGTGTATTGGTACTCAGGATGATCTCTTCCATAACTTTTTCCAGAACTGAGATCAGACTGACAGGTCTGTAGTTTCCCGGATCACCCTTCTGACCCTTCTTGTAGATGTGCATGTCACAGGGAAGAGCAGGGGAACCCTGAGACCCCCAGGGGCAGTAGCCACCACAGCAACACCCATCATCCAGAGGCTGAGTGAGACCATTTCCATGAGTTAGGGGATCCCAAGGACACAAGAGATTGGCATTAGTCCCTTTTCTTGTGTAACAAATTTAAGGTATTATTAATGTGACATTCCTGTACTAATTTGAGCTATATTAGTACTATTGTAACTAGATGAATGGCAATTATTGTATTTAAATTAAATTGCTGAGATATTTAAATGTTTGAATCCATATGTATATTATGTTTCCTTATGTCCACAACAAGATTTTAAATAAAACAGTTTGTCCTTTTTCTCTGGGGGAGAGAGGAAATTTATATAATATAACAGATAATTATTGTGCATAAGTGAAGGAAAGTCATGTCAGTAGCTAAACATTGCATACATTAGGAGAACTTTTGCCCCTGTGGACACCGGGACTAATGAATACAGAAATAGAATTGACAATCTGGGCTATGCAGATACACTTCTGATTAGAATAAAACTTGATTTTAGAGGAGTCACAAGCTTACTGTACTAGTATCACTTTCTAGTTATCCAAATTCACAGATGTAGTGGGTTGAATAAAATGAGTGTATGACAAAGCCTGGGTAGGGACAACTGTCTATTTCCTTAAATATGGATGTGTTTCATTTAAAAAACTATGAGCTGAATTATTAAGCAGTTGTTAGACAATTCTCTGTGTGTGCGTGTGTGTGCATGTGCAAGTGTATTCACCAGAGTGAATTCTTCCCTGAAAGTGCTTCCTGAAAATGATGATAAAGCTGATGTATGAAGAAGAGAAATGAATAATGGTAGAATTCTGCTGGAGACTATTGTTGCAGGTCCAAAGGGAAGAGGGGACAGGACACGAGGAAGGGTGCAAGCAGACTTCTTTATTCAGGTGTGCCCGATTCTTAACCGTCCCGCCAGGGGCTGGGGCAGAACATCAAGAGGGCTATCAGACAGACAAATGGGGGAGCAAATCAGAACAGGGCACAGGCAAAAGGGGGAGGAGGAAGCCTGGGCATGTGCAGTTGTGCACTGTGTAGCATGAATACAGTGAAAGTCCATATGAAAGTCCTGCCAATTGCTGTATGCTTTTCTCCATGCCTGGAACTGTTCCCATCCTGAATCTTGCTTCTCCACATCTCACCCTTTCTTATTAGTTTGAAAGATGCCTGTTGTGATAGTCCTTCTTGCAGCATGCTGTGACACAAGAAATAGTTAGTAACAAAACAAACAGAGAAAGCAAAATTTCAAAACAAGTGGACAGCTGCATTTGCTGAGTGACTCCCCCCCTAAAATTGTTTCCAGCCCGAGATGCCACTGCTCCATGGTGTCTAAAAGCTTAGTGATAGTGGTCTTCTGTGGACTACGAGATCCTGGAAAGTAAGCAGAACATGTTAGAAGGGAGAATTTAGGATTGGGATCATGTGATAAGGGAACTGTAGGGATTGTTGTGGTTTGCTGGCACTTGCTGAAGGGATGGGCTACGCAGGATGGAACGCAGTTGAGGGGGTGCTGCCTTGTTTCTTGACAGCTCACAGGTGCACTGTTTAAGATCTGGCATTGAATTAAAAGTCACTTTTCTTCTCAAGTCTGGTGACTTTTTAGGAGGTAGCAGTTCTCCATAGATGTTAGTAAGAGAGCGGCAATCTTTAGTCCAGTGTCTGCCTTTCCCACATCGTTTGCACGGCGTCTTTGGAAGCTCAGTCTTTGTAGTTAATTGTGGGCAGTTCTTTTTAATATGTCTTGTCTCACTACAGTGAAAACAGGTTTGTGGTCTAGCTAAAGCTTCAGCTATTAGTCTTGCTTTATGAGAATTAGACCCCACATTCTTACAAGCTTCTATCATTTCCAGGAGTGTGGGATCTTTTAGCATTTTTAAGGCTTGTTGGCAATCTTCATTAGCCTTTTCAATCACAAGTTTATTAAACAGAATGTCTTGGCTTTCCTTTTGTTGGACTTGCCATGCTATAGCTTCCTTTAGCCGGGTTATAAAGTCCACAAAAGGTTCTGTTGAGCCCTGATGAATTAGGGTGAAGGAGGGTGTTTGGACATATGCATCAGCAACCTTTTTAAAGGCTTCCATTGCCAGATCTTTTGTAATATCTAAGTATTTTAAATCCACAAGAGCCTGGTCTTGTCGGCTCGCATAGTTGCCTTCTCCATACAGCATATCAATAGCATTCTTTACAGGAATACCACGCGTCTCCATCTTTTCATTGACATATTTAACTATAAGACGTTTCCATTCCGCTTCAAAAACGGATGCCTGCACAGTCGATAACAGTCCATTAATTACCGCTTTGATATCATAAGGTATTAAGTGGCAGGCGAGAAAAAATGATTCAAAAAGTCCAACGGTATAGGGTGAGCCTAAACCGTACTCTACAATCGCTTTTTTGATGTCCTTTAACATAGTATAGGACACCGGACGCCACTCAGGAGCACGACCTTCCTCTAGGTAAATTGGAAAAGCTTTTAAAAACTCGGCTCGTTAGCCTGTGCAGCTTCTGTCTGGAAAGCTTTCCAAATATCATTGCATGGAAGAGAGGCATTTGTCATCCTGCAACTGCCGGGAGCCTCGGTAACAAAGGCTTCATGGACGTGGCCATCTTCCCGGGTGTTATCATCGGGAGAGGCTCTGGTCCTGCTCCTTAGTTTCCGTCTACCCCGGGAGGGTGATGAAGTGGGGGTAGAGGCAGCGCTGGAGGGAGAGGGCGTTCTGGTGGGAGGGTCCTTGGGCGTGCCGGGGGCGTAGGGGGGCGGACGCGAAGGCGGGCTGGGGGGCGGTGCCGGCCGAGCTTCCACGGGCGGGCTGGGGGGTGGTGCCGGCCGAGCTTCCACGGGCGGGCTGGGGGGCGGTGCCGGCGGGAGACGCGCGAAATCTTTGCATGCCGTTTCTCCACGCCGCGCGCGCTCCCCGCTCTCCTGGGTTTCGCCCGCGCGGCCGACGCCATGATGCTGATATTCCGTGCTTTGTTTCTCCCTCCCGCCGTCCGCGCTCTCCCCCCCCCCCCCGCAGCTCCGGGACCCTCGGGGCTTGTCCATTTTTGGGGATGGGGGCTTGAATTTTTGCTCAGATTCTTGGAGATTTTCATTGGAACTCATCAACTGATGCTCTAGCATCATCAGAATCAATCTCCAGGCAATTAACGCTTCAGTAGCAATTTTGTCTCCCCTCTCTTTCGCTCTCCAGATATTGTATCCAATTTTCTCCCAGTCTTTTCGAGACATGTTGTCGGAGATTGCTTCCCCTCTGTTTTCAAGCCATTTAGCAAGGGATTTTGCGGATTTTTTGTCTAAAGGGTGTCCATTTTCTAAAATAAAGTCTTTAAGCTTGCGGTATACAAACTTTTGAGGGGTAGATAGCGAGAGGCCCATTGCGAAATTATTTTGTGAGGGTGGGAGATGGGATTAGAGGTTTTTCCCGGAGCTCGCCTTTCTCGGTGCGGTGGCTATCTTGCCGTAATCTGGGGTTCTACCGGGAAGGACCAGCGAGGCGAAAACGCTTCTCTCAGCGCTGTCTGAGCCCTTTGTGGTGTGGGAGAGGTTTTCTTAAGGTAAAAACCTTTTCTGCCCAACGGTGAGTGCCATCTGTTGCGGGTCCGAAGGGAAGAGGGGACAGGACACGAGGAAGGGTGCAAGCAGACTTGTTTATTCAGGCGTGCGCCCGATTCTTAACCGTCCTGCCAGGGGCAGGGGGCAGAACATCGAGAGGGTTATCAGACAGACAAATGGGGGAGCAAATCAGAACAGGGCACAGGCAAAAGGGGGAGGAGGAAGCCTGGGCATGTGCAGTTGTGCACTGTGTAGCATGAATACAGTGAAAGTCCATATGAAAGTCCTGCCAATTGCTGTATGCTTTTCTCCATGCCTGGAACTGTTCCCATCCTGAATCTTGCTTCTCCACAGACTATACTCTTGTTTTTTTCATTAAATGACATTCAATCCAAAGAAACAAAGCACAGTCCTATAGTTCTAGAATCATCCAACTTCCCTGCTCAAATTGAATCACATAAAGCGGGTTGCCAGGGACCATGTCCAGATTTTGGTGGCAGTCTTCAAGGAGGGAGACTCCACAACCTCTCTTGTCAACCTGTTTCCAGGCTTAGTCCTCACAGTGACCAGAGGGAACCTCCTGCGTTTCAGTGTGTGACAATTATCTCCGGTCCTGCCACTGGGCACAAGTGAAAACAACTTGACTGCGTCTACTTTGCACCCACCCTTCAGGTATTTATATACATTGAGGAGATCTCCCCTAAGCCTTCTCTTTTCTAGGCTGAACAGTCCCATCTCTTTCAACCTCTCAAAATTCGTGAGATGCTCCAGCTAAAAGGAAGGCAGCAGAAACAGGTTTCAGCCTGGGCAGAAACCCTGGGTCTCCAAGCACTGGGCTGGTCTCCAGTAACTGGGTGGAAGAACCCCCAGGTTCAGAAGGGGAACCTGGGGGAACCAGGGGAACCCCCAGGTTCCCCCTCTTGGAAGCAGTGCTCGTTTACAACATCTCTTAACAAAAATCAGTTTTGTTGCCTTCACATACATGCACAGTGACATTTTGTATTTCCTTCATTGGCGTACATGACCTCCAGCTGGTTCTACTGAAAGACACGTCTTCTGAAGATACTTTTGTCTCCATATGGATGCTGCAAAGGCTGTAAGAAATCTTATAGTATGCAAATGTTTGCATAGTTTTAACAGAGAAAAGAGAAATTATGGGAAAACAATGTATCTTCAGCTGTAAATGAACTGGGATACCCTAGAAATCTCAAATGGTATCTAGTATCTACTTGTAGACCCCACAAGTCTGTGGGTCCCCTGAGTGTCTCTCCAGTTCATTTTTCTCACACAGCCTTGAAGTCTTCCTCATAGCCCTGAAGTGTCTCTCCCAGTGATGTGAGTCTTTCTGTGAGTTACCCCAAGCACTGCAAGGGTCAAATTGGAGTAGAAAATAGATAGTTCCTTACTAGCCTCTTCAGAGTCATTTGGTACCATCTCTGGTGCTCACAGTCTGCCTGACTGTTTTGGTTCTCATGACTTTGCAATTTTTTGAGTGATTGACAGGTCTTTTAAACTCAACATAGTGATCTATTCTTGTAACTAAGGCAGCTGCATTATTCTATAGATCTAACTAATATCTGTGCAACCATTGCTGGCAACCAGTTCTAAACCATGCTGTCTGAAAAAGCCAGAACTGAGACTCAGATACCTAGTTCAAGTAGATACTTAGATGCAATTTCCATGAGTTTGCATTCATTTAGTTACCTAAGTGTAGGTGTCCCTAATCAGAAGCTGAATTCAATATTCATAGATGATATTTGTTATTTCAAAGACCAATCAGGCCTTTAAAATCAGTCTTGTCATGTCAATACATGTAACTCCTTCTGTCCTCAGTTACAGGATGCCGCCCAAATTTAGGTTACGTATTGGAAGGGAACAATCTATCACATCAGGGTCATAGTCCTGGAGGAAGGACGCTCCCATATGTGTCAGTCACACAAGGAGATTGCAGCTGAGGGTACCGCAGAAAGTCATATGGCTCTGCATGGGACCAAGAATACAGAAGACATACGGAGGCATTACAATCACCTGCTGTTAGGTGGCAGTCAATGCAAGGGGAAGAGATGTCTTCAATAATGTGTTATTGCTAAAATACTCCCAAGAGTTTTACTATTCCTAAAATAATTTTAGTCTAAGTAAACTGGTTGCTTAAATCATAGAATCATAGAATCATAGAATCATAGAATCAGCTGGATTGGAAAAGACTTCTGAGATCATCAAGTCCAACCCTTGATCAGCTACCATCGCAGTTATTAGACCATGGCACTAAGTGCCACATCCAGTCTCATCTTAAAAACCTCCAGGGATGGAGAATCCACCACTTCCCTAGGTAGCCCATTCCAATGCCCAAATCTTGTTCTTCCTTCCATATGTTTGAGATGTTTGCCTATGTGCTGTCATGTAGAGCTACTTCAGTGTATCAATTACATGTGTTTAAAATCTCTGTGACTCAGTACTGAAGTATTGTATAACCTCTGTTCTTGCCCTTTGTATTGGGGTAAAATTTGCCTCATATGTTTAAAGAATTATTAAATGCTGATGACACAGTGGGAGTTAATTTCACATCAGGGCTCTTGGTGAAGATACTGACATCAGATGAAGAAGGAATTTCACATTGTGAAAATGACCCTTGCCACTCCAATATTATCTGCACTGTTTTATTATGAGAAATAAACCAAGCTGCCTCTGGGAACAGCACAATCAAGTATAGCTTTCTTATTCTGGACTGAGATGTGTTCTGCAATTTATTCTGCTTCTTGATGTTGTTGTTGTGTTTGAAGAGGGAATTATATTCTCCAGACTCATGTAGGATGTGCTCTGCTTCTTTCAAAGATGTATAATTTATCAATTCAGAAGACTTTATGTATTAACTATGCACATACATACTTACACATTTTAAATGTGCATGTGTGAAGACAACTTTTGTAATATATTGTTACAAAATAAGACAATTTATTTTGTGGTAGAGGAAGGGGGCTTTTTCTTTGAGGCACAAATTAATTTTTATGCTTTTCCATACAGACATAATCCACTTCAAATCTAACACTGAGGTAGTTTTATCACTTATTTCCCCATTTTTCCAGTAGTATATTTATACTGAGTTCAGGAGTATGACTAATGCAAAAAGTAGATTTCTGTAGATTTGTTTGTATACAAGTTAATTTAATATGCTTGTGCAGAAATTAAAATTTCCCAAGTTATTAGATACCGAGCAGAAAACAATGGCAAATAAAATTAAATATTAAATTTTCCTACAATTGCAACATAGACATTAAGCTTAACCTCACCAAACTCATGACCATTCAAAACTGCATACAGTGAAATTAGTTATTTTCCTCCATGGCTAGCTGAAACTGCAGTTTGTATATAAACTAATGTGGTAACATATTGGTTTCTGAAGCAATCTTAGAGGATGCTGAAGCTAATTAATGAGTGGGGGAAAGGGAGAATAGATTGAGAAAAATATCTACTTCTTTTATTTTTGGGTTTGTTGCTTCATACGATAGTCCAATTCTTTCTGCAAGTACCCTGGGAAACATCATAGAAGTGAGGTAGTAGAATAATTTAAATTAGTCTTTATCTTTGAAAAATGTCCAGGAGCTTTTTGTCAGTGAATAATGTAGCAGGAAATCCTGGAAGTACAACCACAGGATGGCATCAAGAGCTCCCAGAGCAGAAACTCAAATCCTAGTTGTTCAGTTATTGGTCAATTAACGAAATAAACCATGAGAACTCAGCGGAACAAGTAGAAGGGAGAATGGAAATCATGAATACAACATAAATAAAATGTCCTCTATATGGTAAATATACATAGGTAGTAAAAAGGATGTTTCCTACAAAATGGGACTAAAAGAACAGAGAGGAATTGATTCAACATTGTACCCCAGCCAAGAATATCTCACCAAATAAGAACCACTACCTACCAATGCCAGGTCCTTCCTTCTCTCCAGCAGGAAAAGAGCCTTGCCTTTTAATTTGTCATTCATCACATTTTCCTCCTGCAACTAAGCATCATAGGTAATGTATATCTCTTATAATAGATCAGCAATTATTACTATTATTATAAATAAGAGTTAAATAAGTTAATCTTTTAAAGAACTCTGAGTGCGTGTGGTGGGGGGGGGGGGTTCTGCTTACATCTTCACTTGTGCAGTCCTGAATCATTACAAATTCTAGTACAGCAACTTCATGGCCTGCACTGCACCAACTGCATGTTATCTGAATGTGGGTATATTTTAGGTTACCCAAGCAAGGGATATATCTTAGATTATGCTGCTTCAGAAAGCCATATGCAACACCTAAATATAGTTTTCCCTATTACCTTCTATAATTGCACTTTATCACACTAGGTTTAAATAAAATAAAGGATATAGCTTAAAGCTGATGTTTGATCTTCAAAGACCAAACAGTTGAACACTCATTGAAGATAAATGGCTCAGTCTTCACAGGCTCATAAAGAATTTTTGAAACTACAAGACAATTCTATGCATTCCTATATAATACTAAAACAAATGGAATTAGTATATCACAAATATTCATTTGGCTTCTCTATGCAATGAATAAATCAGAGATTTTCAGCTTTTCTTACATAACAATGAAAATAAGTTAAGAACACAGAAATAGTGTAATTTTATGAATCTTTGGTATTAACCTTACTTACACAATGCCAAATTTTTTTTTAGTTTAAAATTTGTTCAGTGTAAAACCAAATTCTATTTTTATATATTAAATCATATTACCTTCTTGTTGACTTCAATGAAAGTTACATATATATTGTAGAATTATAGTACTCTAGAATAATTTATGTTGGAAGGACCTCTAAGATACTGTAGTTTAACTGCTAACACTTCCAAATCCACCACTAAAATATATCCTTATGTCGTACCATCACTGTACCTTCAGGGACAGTGAGGCAACTGGTACCCTGGGTAGCCTGTTCTAATACTGGACAACCCTTTCAGTGAAAAAATTTTTCCTTATATCCAATCTACAGCTCCCCTGGCACAACTTGAGACCATTTCCTCTCATCTTATTGCTTGTAACTTGGAAGAAGAGACTGACCACCAGCTCCTTTCAAATAGTTGTAGAGAGCAATAAACTCTCTTCTCGGCCTCCTTTTCTCCAGGCTAAATAATCCCAGCTCCCTCAGCCACTTCTCACAGGATTTGTGCTCCAGACCCTTCACCAGCTCTTCTCTGGTCACGCTCCAGCACTTCAATGTCTTCCTTGCAGTGAGGGGCCCAGAACTGAACACAGGATTTGAGGTGTGACCCCACCAATGCCAAATGCAGGGGGACAATCACTGCCCTGGTCCTGAAAGTCAAACTATTTCTGATACAAACCAGATGTCATTGGTCTTCTTGGTCATTGTTATGACCCCCCCCTCTGAAGGTGGGGTAACTGGGGTTCTTGTTAATAGATCCCTTGGGGAAGATTAGACTTAAATGACATTGAATGAACAGTATATATATATATGTGTGTGTATATATAGAACAATTTGGCTGCGGTGGAAAGGAGGTGTGTAACTGTTTTTATTATTATCTAATGAAATATAGTAATATGATGAACATATCACCTAAGAATATATGTAAGGAAAAGAAAGAGAAAGAAAGGATAAGTGGATACCACCAACCATGGATCCAGCAATGAGACTTAATTGTTGCAATTCAGATGTTCATTGGTCAAAGTGATGGTCACAGTCTTGATACATTGGGGGTGGGAGAAACCCACAAACCAGAGAGTTCAATGGGTTAATTCACATTCATGTTCAGGTGAGAATGCCCACTTGATGGGGGGAATTTTCACACTGTGGATCATATGCATTCCTCTGGTGGAAGGCCCCAGAAATGAGTCTGGGGGTGCTTTGGTGGTTGTTGGTGGTCACAGATGCCATCTGTCCCATAACATGGGATGGTCTGTGTTTGACTGGTAATATGTGGATAAGGAGTTTTTTCCTTTCCCATAGATTTCCCCAATGGGAATTTCTGTCCAGGTGCATTAACCAGGATGTGCTAACCAGATCTTGCCTCTGCCAGGCTTGGAATTAGTGCCTTACAGTCACAAATCCATTATCTCAAGTTCCTGCTATGGTGGCTAACCTTATGACAATTCATTCTGTGGCCTTGACAGTGTTTGAGACAGGCAACTGTGCTCTTTGACTCCTTACAGCCACCTGGGCACACTGCTGGCTCACGTTTGGTTCCTGTCAGCCAGCACCCCCAGGTTGTTTTCCACTAGGGAGCTTTTCGGCCACTCTCCCCCAAGCTTGGAGGGGTGCAAGGGGTTGTTGTGACCAAAGGGCAGGGCCCAGAACACCTACAGTTGGACTACCTACAGTTGTCTTCAGCCCATCAATCCAACCTGTCCAGATCCCTCTGCAGTGCCTTCCTACACTCCCGCCCAACTTGGTGTTGCCTGCAAACTGACTGAGGGTGCACTCACTCATCTAGACCACTGATAAATATATTAAACAGAACTGGTCCCAGAACTGAGCCATGGGAAATACCACATGTGACCAGATAATGACTGGATTTAACTTCATTCACCACCACCCTCCAGGTTCTGGCATCCTTTGCCCTTTAGGGCTGCCTCCCAAGGGACTTTGTCAACCAGACTCATAAATAGGACAAAGTCCGCCCTCCAGAAGTCCAAGGTAGCAGTTCTGTGGACCCCACTCTTTACTTCTCTGAAAATAGAAGACTATTGATAATTACATGGTTTCTATGCCCAAGGCAGTCTCCAAGCATCATATCAGTCCAGGAATCTCCTAGACTCTTTCCTCTCTGTATTATACTTTCAACAGACATCTGTAAGTTTAAGTGTCCCACAAGAACAAAGTCTAGTAATTGTGAGACTTCTCACAGTTGCTTAGGGAATATTTCATGTGCCTCTTCATCTTGGTTGGGTGGTCTATAACAGACTCCCACCATGATTACAATCAAAGGTTTGTGAACCTCACTAATTTCATTAAACTAAGAGGGAAACTTGAAAATTATTCATGTTGTCAATGCAAAAATTGACACACTTAAAGCTCCACATTTTAGTTTCAACATTGGAAGTGTGGAAAATTAAAGCAAAATAAATTATGTGGTGGGGGGAAACAGTTTTCCCCCTGCAGTTATAAAATGGTAAAACCCCAGGGGGTGGTGACCCTTGAAGTTTTGAGGTTTTACCCAATGAGTGCTTCTGCAAAATATAAACATATCACAAGCAGAACAGAAGAGAAGGTTAGTTGTAGTTGTTGAAGAACTAGCCATGTTGTAAAGCCACGAGGAGAAGCAGCAGCAGCCCCACTGGGGGCTGGGCCCCCGCAGACCCTGGGTGGGGGCTGCAGAGACTTGGAACAGTGTAAGACTGGACTAAGTGTCTGTAGTTGAGCCAGGGGATGTTTCTCCACTGTGAGCTGCAGCAAAAGATACTGAAAAGCGGCGGCAGAACTGCACTGATCGAAGAAATGGTGGTAGAGAGCCAGGAGAGATAAGACCGAGCAGCAACAACAGACATGCAGCAACACAGTTGTTCGAGAGAAAGAGAAAGAGAGCCAGCAGCAGAGAGAGCAGACCTAGGCTCTACAGACAGAGTTTTTGGGGTGAGAACTGAAACCAAAAACCCCCCAAAATCCCTTTGAGACTCCTCCTAGGAGGAGGGAGATGGACTCCGGCTTGAGAGGAGTCGTAGAGTGCAGCATGCACCAAAGAGAGGAGCTGAGCTCAGGAGTCCTGGAAAACTGAACCAGGACAACCAGATGGAACGTGGAGGGGGTGACCTTGGCCCCCCCTCGCCTCTGCTGCCAAGCTATGCTAGCAGCCTGGGATCAGAGCACAGAAGCTCTGATAGAACTCTTGAGGCAAAGGCCTTCAACTGAAAGTTGCCCAAGATGTTTTGACTCAGGGGTGAATCCCCTGAGGAAGGGACCTTCATGGGGGTCTTACGCCCCATGATATGACGTGGTGATGTGAGTTTTGTCCCTGTTACGCAGTCCACGGAGGAGAAGACCCTCACTTGAAGACAATGGGCCAAGGGGCTTGGATACCCCCTCGTGTGTACTGGCAGAGATCCAGCTACAGCTGCTGCATGAGGAAGAGCGAAACAGATAGACCTGCTGCCCTAGAGACGTTGCTGTTCTGAAAGTGGAAAGGGATCTTCCCTTCTTCCCTCCTGGACTTTTATTTGGAGGGGAGAATAGATTTGATCCATTGTAAATACTTATGTCATGGTAGCTAAGATTGTATATAATGTATTGTGGTGTTTATTTTGTACAGACATTGTAATATATATTCCCTTTCCCCCATTTTGAGTCTTGTGTGGTGTCTGGAAAAACCATCTCACACTGGGTTGAGATGTGGGAGGGGGTTTGGACTAGGGAATTGGATTTTGGGGCTCTCAAACCATGACAGTGAACATAGATGAAAGGAGCAAATGCAGACCTAGTTTAAAACAAGACTTAGTTTATGTTCTTTTTTCTCATCCTCTGAAAATTACAGGGCATTATAGGATAGCTCTGGTTTTGGTCAAGTTTAAACTAATGTCTACTCATTGAAGATGAGCCTGTCTAAAGATCTATAACAAAGGAAACTTCCATAGCTCCTCCAGGCATGTTTTTCTGTCTGTATGTCAAATACTTTAAATAAGAAATAGAATACATTCCAGATGGCTTGTGAAGAGTGATAATGTCGACCAATTACTAACAACTCTTTCTTTAAAACAGCTTGTAAACATCAAATAGGATTACTAGAATCATTCAGAAGTAAAATGTTTTTATTAGTGCTTATAAAAGTCCAAATTGCTTCATTTCCTCAGAGACAAAAAAATGGAAGTGGTATAATATTCTAATTCTAAGTGGAATTAAATATATTTGTGGATAACGTATAAAACTGAGAAGGAGCAAGTGCAATGAACACAGGTTTTAATCCATAATTTTATCATGCAGTAATAGCTATAAGGGAATAAAACATGGCTGATATTCATTGCAAAAATAAAAACCATATATTTGTGTTAGCTGACAAAGAAGTTTTAATTTCATATTTAAAAGACAGCAATAAAGATTTTGAAAGATAGTTTTTCTTTTTTTAATATTATATAATATACTTGCTTTTAGCATACTTAGATTAATACTAACACAACTTCTTTTTATACCAGAAAAATCATTAAGAAGCCACAACCTCAGTGGTTTTGGTAAGAATGTTTAGAATTCTTTGTAACATGGGTTTTGTTTTCAAAACCTTCTGTTCTTCTTTCTAGTGCATTTTTTTTCTAACCAGAAATCTAAAGGAACAGAGTCAGACCCTGAGATTAGTTCATTTGGTTAGAGCATAGTGCAAATGATATTGAGGTTGTGGGTTTCATCCCTTTACAGATTATTCACATAAGAGTTGGACTTGATGATTCCTGTGGGTCCCTTTCAACTCAGAATCTGCTGTGTGAATCAAGATCCAGATTTAAATGTTTTAATCCACTCAGAATCATATGGATTTTTCTCTGTAAAAGTCAAAGCCTTTCTATTACTTCATGTTTTATTTAGGTATTATTTATTAATAAAAATGTTTAAAACTGTGGTCCATCAGTCTACAGAATTATGAGGTATTTCGTTTTTTTTAAAAAAAGAACAAAAACAACTTGCATACAAAATTGAAAATACTGCATATTAATAGTATATAATTTAAAGCAAAGGAATACCTTAAATAAAAATCAGATTCTGAGTCCTAACTTCATTTTTCAGCTTGAGCTGCCTTAATATCCAAAGTTTTCATCTCCTCAGGATGTTTCCTGTACAAACATATTCCATTTGATTATTCTTATCTCTAAAATCATGGTAAGTATTGACAAATACATTTAAATATACTCTTTTTTCAAAAATATAAAAGTAAAGGCTGACATGAAATTTCACCTTTTAGATGTTGAAAATCTGATGGCATTATCCATAATGCACTGTACAATGCCTCCCTTATTAACCAGACAATCTGGGAACTGTTGAGAAGTCTCTTATAGTAAGGCTCATTAATTGAAATATGTAGCAAT